CAGTTATGTAACAATTAGTATTCTATTATAATTTTGGCTCAGCCTCATTGAACTTCAGGCAATAATAGAGATCATTCCTGATCCGGCGCCGCGTGTGTCATTGGACAGACGGCAGAAGGCAGTTATAGAAGGCAGTTATGTAACAATTAGTATTCTATTATAATTTTGGCTCAGCCTCATTGAACTTCAGGCAATAATAGAGATCATTCCTGATCCGGCGCCGCGTGTGTCATTGGATAGAAGGCAGTTATAGAAGGCAGTTATGGTAACAAGTTAGTATTCTATTATAATTTTGGCTCAGCCTCATTGAACTTCAGGCAATAGTAGAGATCATTCCTGATCCGGCGCCGCATGTGTAGTCCAATGGCCCCTGATGTTTCCTTGCTGACAAACCATTGATCTCACAAACTCTTCCCAGTTTTGCAGGTGCAAAGGAAGAAAGGAATGATATTGAATCAGATATGGTAGACAGAATCCAGTCCTGTCTCTTTTGGACCATTTTGATTATTGAGAGGACTACATGTATATGCTGTGTATGAAATAAAAAGGATCCTTAAGGTAGTGGTGACTGGCACTACAGCAACTGCCTGTAGAAGTGTAGTATTTGCACTTCTCCAGGGAATGGAAGTAAGTACCACCATGACATTTGTACATTATGCTCTACATCTATCAACTTTTCAGAAATAAAGCATACTTTCCACTACAATGGACATTGTAGTGATGGATTAATGTGAAACATGTTAAAAACGTGATGCAGAAATGCTAGATGGGCTGCAATCCTGGCAGTACAGAATCGGTGATGTGACCTTCTGTTCGCAGTAATAGCCGTAGTCCCCATCATCAGAAACTTGGTGGGTGACTGCAGGTAAGAAACCAATTTTCTTGTTTCGTCCCCACAGTCTCTCTGGGCGTTTCTACCACTTTTCGTCCACCAGAGTTACATCCAGAGTTATTAGTCTTTGAAACTAATAGCATACAAATGATTCAGCTTTAAAATTTAAAAAGAAGTTTGCTTGTAACTCACATGTGTAGCGTGTCAATGATGATATACTCCCATGGAACATTGAACACTGGGCGCTCGTTGTGGCCATGGTTGTCTTGCTGTCCTACACTCAGCTGTGCGGTATCCTGTGACCTCAGTTCGAATCCTAAAACCATCAAAAACTCTATGATGAAAAATCCAAACAATTTTACAATGAAAAAATGCAGCGGAAGGATCACTACATGAAAACAGCCTCAACAAAACTCACAAATAATGAATGTCCGTACCCTGTCTGAACTGTCCTATCTTGTCCTTAGTGCAGTAGCACAAGGCACAGAAATAGCTGCGAGAGATGTCAGAAAAAGAAGATAGGTGTTAGGTAGCACATCAGGTGTGGTCAAATGCATCAATATGATTATGCAAATATATTTTCAGAAAACTGTCTTAACAGTTGGGCCAACAAGGCCCATCATAATGGCCAGGGCCGTCCAATCACTGACTATGTACCTGTAAGTAAAGACCTTGACCGCACTTGCCTCCATTTTATCGTATTGCTGCCCATATCCTGTCCTCGTAAACTTCATTCTGCTCCTTCAGGCTCCTACTGGTGCTGATATCATGTACAAATGATTCCGTTGCATCATCCCACTTACGCAGGAGGGCGGTAGATCCATGCAAGCAGCGTTTTTTGTGCCTTTTCTGGTTTAATCTCCACGCAAGATCAAGGATGCTCTAGGTCTGACTGTCGCTGCATGTTTTCATTAGGAAAAGGAATGTGAAACACGTATTTGCAAGCACATATTCTAGACTCCCCCCAAATTATTTCTAGTAACGCTTATAGTTCACATTTCCGACCTGCTATGTGTTCCAAAACATAAAAACAAGAGGTAATATATTCCCTACGTTTGGGTGGACGGATATGTCTGGGACTTGGTATACGTTTTGCTATTGGGCTGTAGATGGTGCACGTTGTTTTGGTTTTTTAGTATGTGTGTTTTAGTGCGTGAAAATGATGCGTTGTGACAGCGTATGGACACCCCTTGTGTGTGAAAGTGGTTTTGTTTTTCGGCGTGTATAAAGTGTCGCAGGTTGCGTCCACATCTGGTGAGAGGGGGTGTCAGGTATCGAGGAAAAATCGGAACGCAGGTCATGTGAGGTGGACCAATGAGAGTGTAGATCGCGCTGCTATTTACATATCAAAATGGCGCACGCATGGTTTTGAACAGCGACGTGGAGAACACGTTTTTTATCCCGGAATTTTCATAGTTTTGACTGTTTTTTTTGGCACGCCGTGATTATGCTGACACCTCTTAGGGTGTGAAAATGGTCGCTCGGGTTGACCATTTGCGGTTACATCTTCGCCTACCGATCAGCACAGTCGGCTCGGGGTCGCCAATTATGTTATCCTGGAGCTAGTCTGGGTGCCATCATGTTCAGATGGTGCCACCATATGATGGAATTGGCACGAAAACTCTCGCGAGACAACGAGTCTCCAACACGTGACCCCGAAGAGAGCTTGTCGGGACATGTACGGACAATCCTTCATTCTGCAGTTTGTCACGCAGCGCTGCAGTAACGTGGGTAATAGCGCTGACAGAGACGGACGTGTGCTGCAACTTCCCGCGCTTTCCGGAGACGCCTCCTCGGTTTAGACCACTCGGACTCTAGTTTTTATATATTTTTTCCTTCCCCTGGGTTTACCTTGGCCCCTCGGAACTCTCTCCGTCCCGAGTTTTACCCCGACCATGTTTGGAGCCGGCAAGAGAAAGATTAAACTCCCCGCGCGATACGCCGCGTCTCCTGCGGAGGACGACCCTGAATGGCTTTCGACTCCAACAGACAACCTCGCGGAGCAGCTAGACAACGAAATTTTAGACGTTTCCAGACGCATAGAGCAAATGAAGGTCGACATGGGCCTGGAAAACCGGACGGAATCCACGTCTACCCCCCTCCCCACGCACGGCGACGTCATCGGTCAGAGGTCGACCATCCCAGAAGCCCTTGCGCAAGATCCTCAAGATGGCCGCCACCAGCGCCTTTCAACAAGAGCTCCTAAGCCCATCGCCCCACCGGATGGCCACTATCCAACCTTGCGTGAGGTCCGGGCGTTTCACAAGGCGCATAACGACCCGTCCACTTTCACACAGTATTTCCCGAGGCAGACAGGCGGGACTCACGTCGCCGATACGATCCGAAGCTCTGACGGACGTCCCATGCAGTTCAACCCTCAACACGTCTCTGACGAGGACGCGCACCCGCCGGCCCAAGGTAAGAAGCTCAGTAGCGGTCTTTCGAGAAAAGCACATGACAGAGTAGTTCGAGAAGTGAACTGGCCGCATGAATTCGTCTTCTCTGCCAACACCACCATCACTCATGACTCGCTGACTTTAGATCAACTTGTGGCTGGCGAAATGGCCATCATCCTAAGTCCTCATACAAATCCCATGGAGAGTCAAAACAGGGGCCATATTTTGAAAGGGCTCATGCTCGACGTTCCCACCTATTCCTTTCCCGGTATTAAGAACTTCTACAAGATTCTGTTTATACACGTAGAGCACGGCCTGGTCACCATAGACAGCACTACTACCTTATCAGAAGTACACAAGTTGAAGGAGGAACATCTGCGACGATCTCCCCGCAACCACAACA